CAGAAAATCAACAGAAAACTGTTGGAAATTCAGTCTGGATTTAAAAGAGGCCACTGCATTAGGGATATCACTGCTGATTTATGAATCTTGTCTGAAAGCAGAGAATACGAAGGGATGTCCATTTGTGTTTTATTGACTATACAAAAGCATTTGGCTGTGTGAATCATAAGAAGTTATGGCTAACATAGAGAATGGGAATCCCAAGCTGGAGGGTCAGGAAGACAGGAAAACTCTCAACAAGGTAGACTGACACAGTAACTGTTAAGAATGAATTTAAGCACAGTAGAAATTATGAGGGTGGTGCAGGATAAGGCAGCATTTTCATTCAGAGAGAACTTTGTTTCAGAAGTCTAGGTCAAAGTAAGGGGAAAGAAGGGACCTTGGCCTTTCCCCAACTGCTTGCTCCTCTCCCTTCGCTGCTAGTTCCTTGAAATGCTTTTAAAATAAAGAGAAGATAAGAGTGTTTTAGGGATGACCAAGTGAAGGAAAAATCAACTCGGTTTATAAACTTTCACTTAAATCACAATTTAAAAATAAAAGTTGTGTTGCCTTGAAACATTTAAGATTAACTCCCGCAATATCTTATCAAGGTCTGAAGAAATTGTGACTAAACAGTTATTCACTATAATTTGGGTCACCAAATATAAGAAAATATTTCTAAGTGATATGATTACATACTATACAGCAAAATGAATTTAAGGATCAAATTCAGTACAATCATTGTACCTAATAAAAGTGAAGGCAAACTTAAAAACCAGAAAATAATCCAGAAGTTAACTGATAAAAATAACTGAAATCATACAGTCATTACTACTGTAATAAACCAATTTTGGGTTTTTTTGCTCATTGTCATCAATTCAGAAGTGACTCACAGATCCTCCAGGGATTCTGGGGAGCCTGTAAATCACAGAGGAGGAGGCTGCCAGTCCTTTTCCAGTGGACCTACAGGTGAATTCAAACCACCAAGGATTGGTCTTTCCTAGCCACGGGCCCACAGTAAGTAGAAGGAGCTTCAAAATCCTTGCCTCCAAGGAGAAAGTTGGCTTCACCCTCTCCAGGACAGATTTGTTTGTTCTCTTAGCAGTCTAAGGTATGTTCAAGACTCTTCTCCAGCACCACAATTCAAAGGCAGTGATTTTTCTTTTGTCATCCTTAGTCATTGTGCAGCTCTCTGATGCACAGCAAGTAACTGCAAAGACCATGGCTTGATCTGGTGCACCTTCGTCTCTAGACCTGGCATTGTTGCTCCTCAGTATTCTGGAGAGGTCCCTGAGAGTAGACTTTCCCAGGACAATTTATCTTTTGATTTCCTGGCTACTGATACCAAGAGTGTTGACTGTGGAGCCAAGCAAATTAAAACTGTTAACAACACCAGAATACTAAAGTTTTTCAAGTTCAATTTTATACTCAGTATTGTTTTGTTGTTGTTGTTATGTGCCGTCGAGTCGTTTGTGACTCATAGCGACCCTATGCACAACAGCCCTAAACCCTGCTCTATCCTGCGCCAACCGCACTG